TCCCTCCCGGAAGCCTTAAATCTAGTAGGAGAATAACATTTGCATATATGAAACTATAATTTAAGACTGTGGTCAATGCCTTAAAAGAAAAAAAAATTCTGAGAGCATTCAGAGACCTTGGGCTCAAAGGCTGGACACACACACACACACACACACACACACAATCACAATCATATTTTTCTTACTTTTCCAGTTCACAAATCACTCACATGGATGGCTTTGCCTTTAAATTTACATCAACCAATGAAAATGGGCTTTGAAAGGTTAGACAGTTGGTGCAAGTGTCATATCTAAAGACCCTTCCAGAAAGGGTCTTGAGCTTTGGCAGAGGTCAAGGGCAGGGACTGTCAAGCAGCAGTGTTTTCGGATTGGCTGGAATGCAGTGTGGGTAACCCCTGAACTGAGGCTGGACAACCACCTGCTGGGGCCCGGGCTTCACCAGGCAGAGTAGAGATGGGTTTGGTGTGTTACTCGTCTATTGCTTCGGTAACAAATTAACACAAACTTATTAGCTTTCACCATGCAAATTAATTACTTTACAAACTGGAGTCAGAAGTCTAACATGCATCTCAAAATCTAGAGTGTTGTCAAGCCCCTGCCTCCTTCTGGAGGCTCCGGAGGAGAATCTGTTTCCAGCTTCCAGAAGCTTCTGCATTCCTTGTTTCATGACCTTCTCCCTCCACTTTCAAAGCCACCAACATTACAGCGCTCTGACCATCCGTTATTCCACAGTCTCCCTCTTACTGATTCCTCTTCCACTTGTAAGGACCAGTGACTACACTGGCCCCACTCAGATAATCCAGGACACGATGCCTATTTTAGGGTAGACAGTTAAGAACCTTAAATCCTTTTCCTTACAAGGTAACACAGTCAGAGGTTCCAGGTATTAGGACGAGGACATCTCTGAGGGACTGTTCTTACTGCGTGTCTGGTTAGGTGATCGGTTGTTAGTTGTCCAGCTCTTGGTGTCTGGTTGCTAGTTGGCTATTTTTTGAGAGACTCCCCTGCTCGGGTCCTCGCCCAAGATCCAGATAATCAAGTTTGTTGAAAGAAGGGAAAAAAGAGTGAACAGCCTCCATGGGGAGAAGGCGCTGCTGAAGTGGACACAAAAAGGGAACACGGACTGTATTTCACTGTCTCTCAGAATTCATCCATAAAGCACAATCCCCCAAATTAGAACACAGGCCATTCTGGGGAAAATTCTTGGCCTACACGTTCCCACAGACCTCAACACTCTGCTGTTTTGTATTCCGTACAAGAACGTTCCTCAAGTCCTCGGTGTCCTCTAGATAGAAGCAGGGATGTTTGTGGCCCACTTCTCAGATGTCTGGCCAGCCTTCTGAGATACTGTCTCTAATCCCAATACACTAGCGGGTTCTGCTAAGTGTCTCTTGGTCCCTAGAGACTCCTCAGCCTCTCTCCCATGCAGCCCAGTCCCTACCCTCTGCCTCCTGGACTTCAGGCCTTGAACCTGAACTTGTCGGCAGCTGCCTCGCTCTCCACCTTGTTGAAGCTAAAGCTGCCCTTCAAGCAGCCCCCCCACCCAAGGCTCTTGAAATAAGATGGAGGTGTCACCCTCCGAGCTGCCCTGGAGCTGGCTGTCCGATTTGCTGTCTTGGTAAGGCCCCGTGTCTTTGCCCAATTCCTCATTTTCCAGTTTCTTTGCCTGAGGCTCCTTATTCCAGACAACTCCTGGGGTGCTCTGCTGCCTGCCTAAAGTCGTCACTTGGCTCTGGAGGGGCTACCTGAGGCCCCCAAGGCCTCCTGCTCCAAGCCCTGCCCCTCAGCCACACCAGACTCCTTACTACTCTTCAGAAAGCCCTGACCTCGTTTTTTTTTTTTTTTTTTTGGTCTGGGTTGCCCTTCCCTCCCCATCCCCCAACACCTGCCAGGCCTGTTCCTCTCTTAGTGATATCTTTACTGACAAACAGAACAAAACCAATGTGTACCCTTGCTGACACCCCACCCAAAGACGCCCTATCCCCCTTACCTGGCTTTATTTTTCTCCATCAATGAGTCACCAAATAACACCTGAGATAACCTGAGATACTTACTAGTTGTTTGTCTCCCCCTGGGAACAAAGCTCCGGGACAGTGCCCTTTGTTCTCTGCTCTGCACCAGCTCCTTGACGGAGCATTTGTTGAATGAATGGAGGAAGCCATTCTTTCCTCCCCTCAACCCCTGAGGTTCTATGGAGGCTCTAGGCCACCACCATCTATGTCTGTTCCTGGGCCACTGTTCAGCTCACACATTAAGATTTTGACTTCACTTTGGAGTTCAGTTCCTCCCACCTAACCTGGCGAATAAGAACACGCAGGACATGCTTCTGAGCTGAGCTCAATGTCCTATTCTTACCGACTGCTCTGTGTGTGTGTGTGTGTGTTTGTGTTTGTGTGTGTGTGTTTGTGTGTGTGTGTGTTTGTGTGTGTGTGTGTGTGTGTGTACACACGCATGCGCATCTCTTCTCCACCCTCTTCCTGACTCCAGCAAGCTGAGGATGAGAAGCAGCTCCTTCTCCATTAACAACCCTGCTGACCACAGGTCTTAATTTTAACTCATTGGACACTATTTAAAATAATAAAACTGGGAAGTCTTTGCAGATCTTTCCTAAAGTCTAGCTCCCATCCTCTTACCCAGTGGCCTGTATGGAGCACCCAGGGAGCTGCCCCAGCACGCACAGAACACTCAGGTTTTGAACCCACTGGGCCTGCTGTAGTGGGACAGGGAGGTTGGTGGGTGGATTGGGAGCGGTGAATCAGGAATGTGCTGCTGACAAGGCTCTGCGGTCTGAGGGCACCACAGTAACAGGCTCTGGGCATGTGTCCCCCATCACTGCTCTCCAAAGAGAATGGTTTATTTTTATGTTTTCATGGCTGGCAGCAATATGGCACCTCGCTGACCTCATTAGTCAATTCCAAGAGCTCCTGGGAGAAGGAGAAGCATGCCAGGGTCACAGGGTTTTGTCTCCAGTTGTTGGATGCTGGGGATTGGAAAGCGAGGCCAAGAGGCAAGAGAGGCACAGGGTAAGCAGGGTCTCCTCCAAAGCCATTCTGAGATTCAAGAAAAGGGCAAATGTCTTTGGTCTTCTGATTATCTTAAGGTCATAACTAACATTAGCTTCCAAGAATCTCCTGGAGAATGACTACTTCTGTCATGGGAAGCCAGGGAGATGGCCTTAGATCATCAGTGGTACCATGTGCTGAATGTCTCTGTGTGCCAGGCATTGTACCAAGCCTTTTAAATACATCCTCTGTGCCAGCTGCTTGGGCAGGGGCAATATTGTCAGCAATTCTATAAAGATGTATTTTTTAAAAATTCACAAATGAAAAATGAGGGGAATTGAGTCTCTGACTTTCCCAAGTTCATATTGCTTTTTTCTTTTTTTTAACTTTTTTTAGTTGTGGATGAACACACAGTATCTTTATTTATTCTTACATGGTGCTGAGAATCGAACCCAGTGCCTCACACATGCGAGGCAAGCGCTTTACCACTGAGCTACAGCCCCAGCCCCTCATATTGCTTTTAAATACCACTGCCATGCCCCTTGCTGACCCCATCCTTGATCTCTCTGGATGTCACCAAATTTCCTTTTTCCTCAAAATGATCATCTATAAAGGTTTGAATTCCAGCTTATTTGGAGGGAAATGAGCTCAGTGGGTGCATCTCTAGGTCTTGTCCCCATTTGGTAAATTAAAATTGACCATTGAATCCCAAATCCTTGCCTGGTAGATTCCACAACACAGAGTCTATCCCCTTGCCCTGTCACATCCCAACACACACACATGGTGAGCTGTTTCTCTCCCTAACAGGAAGGCCCCACGGCTGCCAGGGCCCTCCACCCTGCTCCTTCTAGAAACTTTGGCAGCCACAGCAATCCTCATACCCAGCCTGATTCCCCAGTAGCCAGCCAAGTTCAATCCTTCGGACACTAACAAAGCTTCAAAAGAGTCAAAAGTCAGAAACCCTCTTACTTTATGGTCTAGGGCATTATTTACTGAGAAACACATATGGGAAGGTCTATCCATTAGGGTCTCAGCAGAAAATAATCTTCTCAGAAGGGATCCACAGAAAAGAATGTAGTAAAGGACAAGTTACAGAGCGGCGGGAGAGCTCAGGGAGGCAGCAAGGAGAGCCAAGGCCCCAGGGACCAGCACTAGTGGGGACTTGTTACCACCTAGAGCTCCAGGGACCGGGGATAAAATGTGTGGCAGGGCCTGATGAAAGCTGGGCCCACAGAGGGGACCACCAGATGGGAGCAGCAGTCCTGAAGGACACAGCCCTTGCCAGAACCAAGGCAGCGGAGCAAGGAGGCAGCAGGGCAGAGATGCCCTCCAACCTCTGACCTCTTGCCAGGGCCCCATGGACCAAGCCCGAAAGGAAGCCAGCGGCCAAAGGAAGCTGGTAATTCCATTCTCAGCAGTCAGCACCAAGGGGCACAGAGCAAGAGGCAATGAAGGAGGGGCACGGTCTGAAAGGAGAGGTCCAATGGGCAAGGATGAGCCCCTTAATCCTGCTGCCGTCCCCTGCCGTCCCTGTGGGGCTCCAGGCAGTGGGGAGTGAAGGGCCAAGCCCCTCACAGTGAGGATAAGGATGTGGGAAACTCAACTCCTGGTTGAAAGGAGTTTGTTGGCATTCTTTCCGTGACACTCCATGATGAGGAATGAGTTCTGCTTTTCAGATGGAGACACTTGGGCAGTGGGCATGGCTGGTGCCAGGGACACAGAGACACTCTCCTAAGGAAGGACCCAGATTTTGTACTTCAGAGCTTTGAGGGTAGGAGACATCCTTGCCTCTTAACCATTAGGTCTGAACTTTATTGTTCTATTGACGGGGTCGGAGGTCAGAATGGTTTGGACCCTGGTTTGATGCAGGGGCAAGACTAAGTTCAGCAACGGGTGCGAGGCAGGCCCCAGCTGGGCCCCTCAACTCTGCTGAGCTTTCTGCTGCTGGGGAGTCTGCTATAGTGGACCCCAGTATGCATATAGTTCAAGAGCAAGAGAGATATTTAATGTCTTTTAATTAATTAAAATGCTGGATTACAGAAGAGTGAATAGGGTGATTCTTTTTGTGGTCTGCTGAGATTCCTTGGAAAGCAAGCTTGGGAGGCCAGGGACCAGGTCAGAACACGAGAGACCAATGCCCTGTGCAGGACTGTAGAAAGAGAAGCATTCGCAAGCTGACGGAGCTACAGGGAAGGAAAGAATTTCCAGTTTGGGTCCAAGTCTTTTGCAGCCTTGACCTTTAGCCTAGAAATGGAGAGCCAAGCTGATCTCCAGGACCACTATAACTCAGGAGAAAGCACAAAGGGGCAGGGAGAGAGTGGGAGACAATGTTGGGTTTGTACCTCATAAAACCCCAAGGAATTGGCTGCCCTCCACTGGATACCTACAGCAAAGCCCCTGGACCCTCCCTGTCCTGTGACCTTGTCCTTGATTTCTATCATTTTGAAGATGAAGACTCAGCCTCAATCAAGTAGGATGAAGGGTAAAACTTCTCTTTCCCCTTTAATGTAAATGTTTCTACAATGAAATGCAAAATAATTATTCTTGTGATTTTACTTAATATTTATCTGGTTTTTTTACTTCAAAAAAAATCTGAAAACCAAAAAATAAAAAAATAAAAACTAACCCTAGTCTGTCTTAATCTGTTTTTAATTTCAGGCCACAGTTGAGGGGTCCTACCTTCCACTGCTCACCACAGACTGTCCTCACACCTCAGTCTGGGTCCCTCTTGGCAACTTCCGCCTACCTGGCGCCTGATCTTAGCCCTCTGTCCACCAGCCATGCACACTGAGGAGTCTGGTTCCCTCTGCTTTCTCCCACCAAAATGAAAGGACCAGGCCATCTGGATCCAGGTGGCATTCTTTACAAAGACCTCGCTGGCAGCACCTCCCTAGCTGCAGCTGAACTTGGCCTCTCTGCTAACATAGCCACTAATGCAGCTCACGCCAGCTGCCCACCATCCCAGCCCCACGCTGCCTCAGGCCTGTCCTTTGCTGCCTTCACCCCTTTCTTGTTGCACTTGAAGACAAGAGTGTGTTCTTTCTGAGGTTCAAGTTCTTCTGCGGTATGTTTCTTTCAGGGAGTTGCTCCCCACTCCATGAACATAAAATTTCTTCCTTGTTTTATGTTAAAATTAAACATTTCTAGCCGGGTGCGGTGGCGCACACCTGTAATCCCAGCAGCTCAGGAGGCTGAGACAGGAGAATTGCGAGTTCAAAGCCAACCTCAGCAATTTAGCGAGGCCCTAAGTAACTCAGTGAGACCTTGTCTCTGAAAAAATAAAAATAGGGCTGGGGATGTGGCTGAGTGGTTGAATGTTCCTGAATTCAATCCCTGGTACCAAAAAGAAAAAAAAAAAGAAAAAATCAAACATTTCTAGAAACCATGTCCCTATCTTAGCATGATAGTGTGTTATCACTGCATTTTCTGAAATCCATTCTCCAGGCTTGCTCAAATATAGTTAGATTGTCCTAAAATCATAAATGATAATTACAGTGCTACCACTTATCCATCATTTGTCATTCATCCGGCACAGTGCTGAGCTCTTTAATTTTCAATGTGATTTTGTGATTTGCCTAAGGAGCTGGTATTCCTGATTATAGAGCCCTCGTTTTGTTGTTGTTGTTGTTGTTGTTGTTTGTTTGTTTGTTTGTTTGTTTGAGATAGGGTCTTGCTAAGTTGCTTAGGGCCTCACTAAGTTGCTAAGGCTGGCTTTGAACTTGCAATCCTCCTGCCTCAGCCTCACAGATTGCTAGAAATACAGGTATGTGCCACCACTCCCAGCCCAGAGCCCTCTTTCTTAACTTCTACACTGTAAGGTTCTTCTCTCATTTCAGATGCCTAGACCCTTCCCTACACCCCCTGACCCAAGCATGTTCAGCTTCTTGGGATCTACTTCCTTAGACGTTTTTTGGTCCACCCCTCATCTCCGGCTTGCAAGGCACCAGAGCCAGTCACCAGCACAGGATCACATTCTGTCAGCTCTGCCTGAGGACTCCCACCTGTGACAGCCTGGTTTTCACTCACTCAGAGGGTCTCCCACTGTGTTCTCCTTAAGTCTTACTTACTACCTTGCCGGGAGGAACCCTGGATATAGGATCTGAAATGTTTTCACTCACAACACTTCTGACACCAGATGCGTGGGCTTCACCCTCACGCCAATCAATTCTCTAACTCTCCAGACACAACTGGATTTCTTACAATTCCATGTTGACACTAACTGCCCAGGGTTAGCAGCAGATTCCACAGCGTTAAGGGCTCAGCCTCATAGTTTGCCCCACTTCAGATGTCAGTCCCAAGTCCCAAGTTGCCACCTGTATTTATGGTCTGCCAACTATAAATTGGGGGATTTCTACAATCTCCCCACCCCTCAGGTTTGGAAATTCACCAGGTTATATCACAGAACTCAGGAAAACACTTTACTTACTATTTTTGGTTTATCATAAAGTATCCTGGGAGAGATGCTTAGGAGGTATGGGGAAAGGGACCCAGAGCTGCCACACATTCTCTAGGCACACCAGCCTCCTGGCACCTTCATGTGGTCACTAACTCTGAAGCTCACCAACTCTATCGTTCACAGGCTGTTATGGAGACCTCATGGCACAAGCATGGCGCTGTTGGTGAGTCACTCAATGTTTGACCACCCTCCTCCCACTGGAGGTCAGAGAGTGGGCCTAAGGTTCCAACCTTCTTATCCTGCCTTGGTCCTTCAGGCCACAAACTCACATCCTGAAGCTCCTTGGGGACCCTCAGCCACCAGTTATCTCACTAACATACAAAAGGTGCTCTTATCTCTCCAGAGATTCCAAGGGTTTTAGGACAAAGACCAAATATATATTTCTTATTATATCACATAAGAACATCAGGATCTGGGGCTAGGATTGTGGCTCAGCCGTAGAGCGCTCGCCTAGCATGTGCAAGGCCCTGGGTTCAATCCTCAGCACCACATTAAAAAAAATTGAAAAATAAAGGTATTGACAACTACAAGTAAAAATATAAATATTAAAAACAAAACAACAACAACAACAAAAAACAACAACAACAACAGGATCTGCCCATCTCCCTGACTACACCCCCAGGGAGGTGGAACAGGTGTGCCATCTATCTCAGAGCCCTTTCTTGATTTAGAAAGTCTGCACCCAAAAGAAGCCAACTTCAGCTGCGGGGTGACCTGATTCTGAGCATGGCTCCTCCATATTATTGGCGAATGACAAGAAAGAACTCTGGACTCCAAGGTCAGACCTCTTCTCTGTCTTCATTCGCTCCCAGCAGTCATGTTACTTTATGTGATATCCAGCCATGGACTCCCAAATGGAATCTCTGCTAAATTCTATAGTTTTATAGCTAACTGCCTGTGTAAGGTCTTCACTGGAATAACTATGGGCCAGATCCAAATCAAATTCCTGATTCTACTGTTCCCCCAACCTACTCCTCCCTCAGCCTCTCTGTGTCAACTCCATCCTTTTGTTTGTTCAGGCCAAAAGTCAAGGAGTCAGTCTTCTTTCCTCTAGGAATTTCATATTCTACAACCAAGCTGTCAGCAAATCTTATTGGCAATTCCTTCCTATTACTGCCTCTGTGGTCAAAGCTACCACCATCTTTTGCCTAGATTATTGCAAGAGCCGCAACCATTTTTCAGGTGCTCAGTGAGTACTCATTAAATGAATGAATGAAATCTGGAGTGTCCTCAAGGGTTGGTTGGAATCAGAGGGAGCATTGGGTATGCCTACTGTTTAGACTTCATGCTGGCCCAGAGCTTAGGTCATTTCCATGAAGCAAATCTGGGAAAACACACTGGTCTTCCCAGTTCTGTGGTGTGGTTTGTAACAGCACATTGTCAAACATGTTGCTGCCTATGCAGCAGAACAGCTATTGGAACTTGTTGCTAAGGGAAGTGAAAGAAAAAAAAGCAGAGATGAATTTAGTCTTTTTCCGCCCTGAATAGTGTGACATGGCAGCCTTCATAGAGAGTTCAGCCAGCCAGCCCACCTCACGCATGATCTGCTAGGCAATCATTAAAAAGAAATGATTCACATCGGTGGCCCAGGACCTGAATGTCTCAGATAAACTCCCTCCTTGAAGGGTACATCGAGTCAAAGAGAAAAGGCTTTGATAAGAAACTTTGGAGGAAAACTTTGGAATGAGAAGGAAACAAGATCATGAGAAGGTGGTCTGGACATAGACAGGTGACCCAGATCCATGAGCTGGTGACAGGAGACAGGGGAGAGGCATGTGCATTGAGGGGCAGCTAATAGATTTGTCGTTTGATGTAGCTCTTTAGAAATATTGCGGTGTCTGGTGACCTGGATTGCAGGTTTTCCTCTAGCTCACTGGGTGAGCCTGGATGCACTGCTTGGCCGTGTCCTCTCACCCTTACCAGCCAGCCTCCCCTCTGGCTCCTTCCATGGTTCTGTGCAGAGTAGAGAAGTAGACACAAAACAGACCCAGAAGTGGCTCTTAGCAATCACTGGTGCTGACTTATGCCCTCCCGACTCTCCTTGTTGGTGAGATCGCCACCAATTTCCTGTTAGAACACAGCCTCCTGGAAAATTCAAGGATCCGAAGACAAGCCATTTCTGAGCCCCCCTGAGTCTTGTTTCACATTCCCTGTCTATCTGCTTCCAAATGGCCAAACTTACCTCCAACTGAGTCCACCAGAGTGGGTGGGCCGGAGAGAAGACCTCAACTTCTCAGACAGTGAGTGGAGGCAGCTCAGAGATGTCTTTCATTCTGGAGCGCAGGACTTAACGGTTCTGCTTGATCAAGGGAGTAGCACTGGCTGGGGGCTTGTCTTAAACCATGTCCTGGGAGCCAGGCCAAGATGTTTGCATTTGAAGGTAGGGTTACTAGATTTCACAAATAAAAACAGAGAACATTTCCAATTTGAGATAAACAATGAATAATGTTTTAGTATAAATATGTTCCAGATGATGTTTGGGATACATCTATAAATACAGAAAAATGATTCCTTGCTTAATCTGAAATCCAAAGGACATTGGGTATTCTGTATTTTATCTGGCAACCCTATTTGCATGGTTCCTAAACATATCAGCACCTCCAAAATCAGTCTGCAGAGAGCTGGGCCTGTGGCAAGGGGCACAGCCTACAACTCCAATTCCTGTTTTCCACCACACCCCTTCCTAGGATTCTAGGGGGCCCTGCAGGAGAGTGTCCAGGAAAGAAAATGGAAGGGAAGAAATGCTCCCAGGGCACAAGGCCAAGACAGAGATTCAGGAGAGCTGGATTCAGGATAGCCTCCAGGCCCGGCCATGGGCACAGGCATCTGTGAAGGGCTAGGTCATAGCCATCTGCCCAGGAAGAGGAGGCATGGGAAAGACAGGGGCTAGGAATGAGAGGGATAGGCAGGAGGACAGGCTGGAGCTTGGAAGGGGTCTCTTGAAAGGCACCACCTGAGAGAGAATGATTTCCTCCAGAGTGGCCACTTGGCCTGCTAGCCCGAGACCTCTGCTTGCTCCACCATCCCTGGACAAAACAGGGAAGGGCTTCCTGCTCCCCTTGTTTTCTCTTCTGATGTATCTCCTCTCCTTCATCAGTCTCCTCAGCATTCTGGAAGGTACTCTGAGAGTTGAAGGCTTGTCAGGGAAGCCGTGCTGTTGGGGCCCCACCTCCTTACCTCCTGCTCACTCCCTGACTGGCTATGGTTTGGCTTGAAAGTAGTGATTAACACGCTGCTGGTCTCCCACAGTTCAAGTCCCATTCCTGCCCTTGACTAGCTGTGTGACCTTGAACTACTTAATGCCTCTGCACCTCAATTTCCTCATCTGCCCATGGGGACTTGTCAGGATTAAGTGAGTAAATAGATGGTAAGTGAGTAGAACAGAGCCAGTGCGAGCAGATACTGTCACGTATGTGGCTTTATTTTCTGCCTCTGTTGCTCCTGGGAACTGTTCCTCAATTCTCTTTCTGACCTTATTCTATCTAGACCTTCCTGACCCCTTGCCACCCCCTGCACACATGCCATTCTCAGGCCCCCACTGCCTCCTCCACGGCATCAAGGACACCGCTCATGTTCATTCCTTCTCTCCTTTTTGACATTCCCATTTCCTCTCCACAGTGTTTTTCTCTCGGTCGGCCCCATCTAGCCAGGCCCTTTCCCCAAGGTTCAGTTCTCATCTCTCTGGAATCCTTTTCCCTTTGGAGATCTCAAGTAACGGACAGAAGGACCAAGCGAGCCCAGCTTTGACGTGCAGACCATTTCCACAAGAGACAGAGCCACTGTGTTCTGTGGTCATCTCGGGCAAAGGGCAGCTAGGACGCAGAAGGGCAAGGAAGCTTCTGCTTTTCACTTTCTACCCTTTTGGATGACTTAGTATTTTTTCCATGAGCATTAATTAATTACATTTATGACAGTGATCACGATAATAATGCTAATTGTTTTAAGGACAGGCATGGAACATTTCTGGCTGGCATCTGGGGCCTTCCTTAATGAGGAGCCTGCCTCTGAGATGGGGGGGAGAGGAGTGTGACCTACCATCTGAGCAAAGGCAGAGAGGGGAAGGGGAGGCCCTGACGTGAACGGGAGGCTTTCTGCCTGTAAAAATGGTTCCGGTCTGAGTGGAGCAGAGAATGCGGTGGGGAACAGGTATTTTGGCAGGTCACAGGGATCTTCCAGGGCCCCTCAAAATCACTCAATGACCCACTTTGACTTTCCATAAGGCGGAGCGCACAGAGGATTCCAAATTTCATGAAGTGATTGAGACCAAAGGGACACACTTGAGAGGGTGTCATGCTCTCTCCTGGGATTGGGTGGGAGGAAGGAGATGATTATTTATTTATTTATTTTAATCAGGGATTGATCACAGAGATGCTGAACCACTGAGCCACATCCCTATCCCTTTTTATTTTTATTTTGAGATAGGGCCTCATTAAGTTGCTAAGCCTGGCCTCAAACTTCTTGAGATCCTCCTACCACAGCCTCCTGAGTCGTGGGGATTATAGGCATGTGCCCAGCATAAGGAGGTGAATTTGAGTCACAGACAGGCCCCGGGACTCACCAAGGCCTGGGTCCACTGGGTTTGCCCATCAGGCTTGTGCCTGGCACGTGCAGGTCTGCCAGGAAAGGCAAAGCTCTTCTGAGACAAGATGACCCTTGATACTGAAGTCAGAGGGTTCGGAAACAGACTCACCATTTAATACGTGGGAGTCCAAGAAGAGTCCAGTGCAGTCTGGCTTCCATATGTCCAAATATTTGGAAGTTGTAAATCAAACTCACAAACTGTTAAATTTAATATGTTCTCTCCTCCTACCTTGACAAACACACCTTCATGATATTCTGAGGGCCAAGTTTGAATTTAGAATTTGAATGAGCCAGAGTTCCACACTGGAATGTCGCGGCTTAAGGGAGCCCATCCTGGTCTGGCTTCAGACCCTGACTCCATCCAGCATTAGGAAGGGTCTGAGCACATGTCTGGACACTCAGCCCGCCGTTCCAAATTCCACCCCTGCAAGCCAGCCCTTGTCACCCACTGAGGCCTGTACACATACCGGCGTCACTGTCCACCTCATTGGCAGAACAGATGCAGGTTTTGTGGCCCAAGTGGCCTGAGGATTGGGTTCATGGAATTGGCCAGGGAATTCAGTATCCAAGTTCCTGAAGAAAGTTCCAGCAGGGACAATAACGGGTTCTTGGCAGACATGTTCTTCTAAACCATGGACATTTTGCTGTGGCTGGGGCTGGGGCTGGATAAAAGGTACAGGAGGTCCCTAACTCATGGGCCACTCTTGTTACCAGACCAGGGCCATGGTCAAGGCGAGTGAGGTCAGCCAACGAGAGGTTGGAGGAGGAGCTTCGGCATTTCCTAGAAGGGTCCTCGTGATACCCAGGTGCTTCCCACTGCCAGGGTTGGGTGTCTGCCCACCACCTTGTGTCTCTGGGTCACACAGGTGTCACTGTCTCATGCCCCTGACACAGTGGAGAGCTTGTTTGCCTCCTTTCACACTCCCTGACTCTAATCCCCATCAGCTTGTGCCACTTGGCTGGCCTCCTTGGCAGAAAGGTGACAAAAGGACATGTCTCTGGAGGATCAGATCCTTCAACCACAGGAACCCGGAGCCTCCTTAGGGCCACGTGATCCATGGCTGCATGTCCTGCCCTCCAGTTACTGGCCTGGTTTCCTTTCACCTCTTCTGGCTGGGGTGTGGGTGGGAGTCACTTAGAGCAAACTCATCCATCTTACAAGAAGGAGCCGTCTTCAAGTACCATCTTAAAGCTGTATCCCAAAACGCTGCTTGACGAAAGCCTCTCCTCTCCTGCACTTCTGCTCCTGCTGCAAGGCCCCAGCTGACCTTCTCCACTGAACCTTCCCTTCCCATGGTTCCCAGGATAACTCCTGACTCCAGCCAGCTCACCTCTCCCACTGGGCTCCTCCCCTTCTCCCAGCACCTGCTCAGCTGCCCCTACTCAGCTGCTCAATTTACTTCTGTCCAAATGCCTCTCATCCTTCCAGGTACACTGGAAGCCTCCTCTCCACGAAGATCCCCAGCACTTCCATGAACCTGTCTCTTGCTTGGTCACCCATCTTGTTTGCCCCGGCACCCCACATTTGGCCCACAGATGATATCATACCGTATGGCATTTTTATTCCTTCCTTGTTACATAAAAACCTTAGAAGAAATCTTAAAAGACCACCTTGTCTAACCCTCATTCTCTGAAGATGAGGAAACTGAGATAAAGGAAGATTTCATCACTTGCCCAGGTTGAACCTGCTGTGTCCTGGCAAAAATGGGCATCACACTCAAATTACCGCAGTCCAGGACTTAACCACAACCCTCTGCTGCTTCCCTTCATAGAGTCCATGTGAGGGGGTGGCAGGACGGGCAACCACGTGACCTACTCATCCACTGGGCAAATGGCACCTTCCCATTTACTGGCAAGACAAAGCCTCCAGCTGCATCCCACCTCTGTGTGCCCTGTTTTTCAAGTTCTTTGCATTTTAATGACCGTGGGGTGGGGTTGGGGGGAGAATGGACACAGGTCACCCAGAGTTTCTCGTACCATCTTTGATTCCCTGCTGTCTCCACGTGGGGAATTTCAGGAAGTCCCTTTTCTTCAGAGGGAATGAGCCCAATTCCTGCTTGCCATGGCGGGGAAATTGGCTCCATTTGTTGCCAATATCCACCATCCCTCGCATTTCATTTTGGAAGCAAGAGCTTCTTAGCTGTGGTCTCCCCTCAGAGACTGCTCAGAAGCCCCGGGAGGGAAGCTGGTGTGGGACAGCAGGAAGGGGGCTAAACAAGCAACCAAGGCATAATCCAAGGCAGAGTCTGAGTTAGAGCCCAGCTTTAACAGGGAGTGGGATGAAGTAAAAGACAACCCAGGGGGCAAAGAGCAGGGAGCAGCCAGAGACAGGATGGCCTCTCCAAAGTAAGGCCCCTAGCTCTAGCCAACTCCCTGGTTCAAAGTCAGCCAGGATCCGGCAGAGCCAACATCTTCCCCTCCCTCTCTCCCTGGTTGTCCTGCTCACGGCAAAGGAAGAAAAACAGAATAATGAGCCACGTTGAAGAGTGTCACCCGAGCAGCTCCGGAAAGACGTGGGCAGACGCCTGGCCGGGCGGCTGACTTTCTCTGTTTCTGGTAGAGATTTTATAAATATTTGGGGAGTTTGATCTGAGGCTGTTGGTGGGGAAGCGAGGAGAGCGTCGAGGGGGGAGATAACTCAGCCCACGGGGGTTCTTGGCTCTCCAAGGCCTGCTTTTCATTAGTATTGCCAAGGCAACAGCTCATCTGCTGCAGATCTCATCACAGCCTGCAAAGCATCCACAGCACGGTCACAGTGAATCTGCTTTCCGCTTCTTAGTGAATCTGCTGCCATCCGTCTTGCTCGGAGCCCCCTCCCCTCAGCCCCCGGGGACCTCCTTGCCTGTGCAAGAGAAGATAATTAAAGGGACGGGCGACTGCCTGACAACTTGAGGCTGGCGTGGAGAGGTAGAGCAGCAATGGTTCTGTTGCAAGGGCTGCGATTTGCCTGGAGGACTGTTCAAAGCTGGGGAGTCAGAAGCATCTAGCACCCAGATAGACCTGGAGCAATACTGTGGCTCCTGTGTGCGCCCACTCAGCCCTGACTCCTGGCTCCCCACCTCCTCCCGACCTTTCCCCTCCACACACACCTTTATTTTTGACCAAGGCAAACATTTGCAGAGTTCCCAAGGAACGGCCTCCCCGGTCATTGTGTTGATCAGTTCCAGATGCCCATGGAAACCCAGCCCATGCATGGCTCTGGTCTGAACCAAGGTGTCCAGTGGCTTCTAAAAGGGTGCAGCTGGGGAGATGGGGGCAGGTGAGGCAGTGGGGGGATGGAAGTCCATGTTTACAAAGTTTAGGTGGGTAAGAGGACAGCCAGCTGGAGGGAGCCCCTCAGTCCAGGTATGGAGGGCAGTGGATGGCAGGTTTGAATGCCTGCCTGGCCCACACTCCCTTTCTGGGCATTTACCTAGTGGGACTCTAGTAACCCAGTGGAAAAGTATGCTCCCTCTAGCTATTGAGCTCTGCAGGGCCAGGTACTAGCTCTGTCAACGTCCAGTACAGTCCTGCACAGAGGAAAGCCCCATTTGTGCCTGTTGCAAGAAAGGGCCCATCTGCAGAAGCAGAGGAGGGTTAGAGAGGCATCAGGGTGCTGCAGGGGCTGGATTTGGGTTTTCTGTGTCATCTTACTAGCCTGGCTTTGTGCTTGGGAGAAAACCTGAGCCCAGCCTCTCCCAGCTCCTCCTTTCTACGGAATGCAGATCACCCCAGCCCTCCTGAAAGATTTGTTCTCCCAGCCCTCTGGAGCAGGCCCTAGGGAGCTGCAGACTCTCACACTAGAACTAAAAAAGCCAGAGATCCCTCCCCCAGCTTTAAATGGAGCAGAACCAGGAGCCCAACTCAGCCGGGCTCCCACAAAGCAGCCCCTTGCCTTCTCGTTTCTCATTCCTATTTTCCCACTGAAATTGGCCCTGGAGGAGCAAACTCCTAATTCCTCTGCTGGTCTGAGCAGGAAATTCCCTTCAGCTTGTGGGAGAGGCCCTAAGAGGGAGATTTCATCACATGGATCCCCTTGAGATACAGAATCATATCAAAGCCATATCTCAGCCCTGGGGAGCAGCTGTCTTCCACCCCGGGCTTTGGGCCTCAATGAAGCAGACCCTCGTGAGCCTCTGTGACCCACAGCCAATGTTAGGGTTTTTAACACTGGTAATAGGCAAAAGTGAGACAATGTACAATGATTAGCTGCCTGGCGGAGCTGACTGGCCGGCACAATGTGGGTTTTTGGGCAATTCTAACATCCTGGTGGGAAACTGTTTTAAAGAGGCCGGGAAATGCCAACCCAGATGCTCAGATGAGCACTAAAGGAAGCTGTGTGTTCCCAGAGCCTGCATGGCGGGCTTTGCCTGGGAACTCACTACATAAGCAGACTCTCAGGCACCTACGGAGTCTGAGAACGGGTTTTCAACCAACTGGCCAGGTGATGTGAGGCATGGGACAGTCTGAGGTACAATGGGGTGCTTCTGCCTCCGGCCTTGTGGATTCTAATTCCCGCTGAGCACCCAGTAACTGTGTGACTGTAGGTAACTTAAGTATCCTCTCTGCCACTCAGTTTCTCACCTTTAAAATAGATGTTACGTGACCTAGAGTACAGAGTTGATTGGTGAATCAGGGGCTGGCACTAGTCTGCTCTTGCCCTAGTGAACCACAATAGCACAAAGTCTTTGCTTTAGGAACATCAACATCCTTTGTGTGCCCAGGGCAGCTACTCAAATCATGTGGCTTCCATCCACCCTTTGGCTACTTCACTTTTCTGTCTTTTGGGTCTCCTGATCATGAGCCCTGCCACCAACAGGGTAGCTTTTCATCTCCAGTAGCTCTCATGTGGAATAAGGTCCCCAGGGCCCAGGAAGGGGCTGAACTGTATCGTGTAGGCTGGGTGGCCGTGAGTAAAGGAAATGAATGCCTGTGGCCACACAGGGCCAGTTCTGAGAAGAGGGTTGCAGAAAAGGAGACGCATCTAGCTTTCGTAATGAGACTTATAGAACCTTGACTGTTCCAAGCAAGTAGTCTAGGTTCTGGGTTTTCATTTCTTCCACTATCTATGTTTCCTTGAGAGATGGCAGGATTGTGTGGTTATCCTGGGGGTCAGAGTTTCAACAGCTTCCCTCTGATGCTGACATGTTCTGTGGCTGTAGTTCTCGTCTGTGTGCCCAGGCTAATGTCAATGGAGTCCAGGGCTGGACAATCCATGGGCATGTGCAGGAGCTTTCAGGTGTTCATGAAAGCTGGGCTGATTTTGCAAAGCTGC